CACACGTATATATACACATATATATATATATATATCTATATATATACTGTATATAATATATACATGCATATTTATGTATGTGTGTGTATATAAATATCAATCAGGAATGTGACATTTTGTCGATTCTAATATAGACAGAAAATAATATAGACAAGCAAAAATCACATTTACAATGATGCACAATAAGTGATTATATAAGGAATATGTATTGTGCGTATCTTATATTAAAATAAATAATACACAGATGCTTTTAGCTAAAGTGACTTACAAATAAGGAATATGTATAGTGCGTATCTTATATTAAAATAAATAATTGAACTTATAATTTATAAGTTTCAGAAAGTAATTATATAAAATAATAACTATTGACTTATATTAAAGTAAATAATAAATAATCAAATAAAATAATATAAAATATAAATAAATATTATAAAATAAAAATTTAAAATGTATATACATATTGATAATAATTAATATAAATTGTAATTTCTAACAATTATTACTTAATAATAGCAAAATAAATTATGTAATGTAATAAATGTAATATTTAATGCAAATAATTATTACTTATTTGTAATTATGAATGATTATTAATAATATTAATATAAATAATATAAAATAAATAATTAAATAAAATTATATAATTTAATGACATTATTTATATTTATCATTTAGCCTTTAACCAAAGTGACTTACAAATACTGAATATATATAGAGTAATATTTATACTCTGTCTGCATCTGTTTATCTGTCTGTCGCTCTGTCAGTATATTATGTTATAGGTCTTCGGTCACTTTTGACCAAAAAATTTTACATTTTGAAATCGTAGCTTCATCGGATTGGTACGAAACTTGGTGACTTTTATGGCACTTGGTATATGAACAACAAATAAAATAAACTATTATTACTATATTATTTATAATTTTAAGTTTCAGTTCAACTTAAACTAGCTGTATTCCATGCTGAGTGATTTTCATATTCATATACCATGCCATGCTTCAAACTACACAATGCTATTACCATAGTAAATGTACAAAAAGCTAAGATAACCACTTAGTGCATTAGATACTGTGTGTGTGTGTGTGAGAGATGTCCCTCTGATCACACACACACACTGAAGCAGACAGGATATATCAGGACATTCCTCTGTACACCCACTGTCTCAGAGTGTGTGGTGTTAGAGATGGATTGTGTCGTTGTTAGCAGAGTGCTCTGGTTGTTTGTTGATTCAGTGTGTGTATGTGAGAGAACGAGAGAGCCCTGCCTGTATGTGTCCGTGTGTAAGAATGAGCTCATTGTGTGTGTTTGCCTGATCGGATGATTCAATGGTCAGTGCGAACACAAATGTTGATTGTCCCTTCAAATAAATGAGTGTGAGCGTGAGATGAAGGATAAACAGTGTGATAATGGATGAGCATGTATTATACTGCAGAACTTCACACATCTGTTCATGTGTGAGTGTGCTAATTAAACTCTGAGTGCTCTGCATCTGAACATTTGTGTGTACATGAATCTAGAGCAGTGTGTTCTGCCATGCTTTAACACACGTGTGTGTGTGTGCGCAGTGTAAGAGGAAGTTTGAGCGGGACTGTAAGGAAGCAGATCGAGCCCAGCAGTACTTTGAGAAGTTGGACGCAGACATCAACGTGACGAAAGCAGACGTGGAGAAGGTAAGAGCGTCTGATAAGGAATCATACATCATCCAGTATTCCTGAAGAAGAAAACACCAGTTTCGCCACTGGGAATATTTTAACAGTAATAAGACAGAAGTGATGATATATAATTATATAGAAACCACAAACTGTCTGTCTGTCTGTCTGTCTGTCTTGTCTATCTATCTGCCTATCTCTGTCCCTCTGTCTATCTGTCTATCTGTCTGTCTGTCCCTCTGTCTGTCCGTCTGTCTGTCCATCTGTCCCTCTCTCTGTCTGTCTGTCTGTCTATCTATCTATCTATCTGTCTGTCTGTCTGTCTGTCCTTCCATCTGTTGTTCTGTCTACCATATGATTAATAAAAATGATAGATAGATAGATTGTGTGTCAGCTGAATGAAACTAAGGTTTATAATTAATCTGATGATGATTTCATTGCTATCATCATCTCACATAGTTGGTTTATATAAGATGAAAAAGTGATGAACTGATACAGCCCGAGTGATTCACATGTGTCTGTTTTTCCCTTCACTTCATCTTAACACATCCATCACTGTCTCACACTGCTGCCGTGGCACTGTGTGGAAACTCGACCGTGTGTGTGTCTGTGTGTGTAGGACTGTGGAGTCACACAGGACAGGCAACATCGCCTACATTCTCTTTACTCATTTTTAATCGTTCTTTGTTCCAGAGCGTGTGCTGGGCAGATGTCTCTGTGATTGCTTGAGTCGAACAAAGAGAAATTTCCAAAGTATTCAGATGTGGAAAAGAGCTCCTGCTTCCAGGAGTCCAGAGAGCATTTTTTGTCATTTAACGGTCAGGTAGTGAGGAACTCCAGAGATCTTTCAGGTAGCTTGTGTGAGAGTCCAAAAAGTCCAATGCAAAGCCAATCTTTCAGATCCCTTCCATTAATGAGAAACGCAGACGTTTCAGGGTCAGTAAAGGTACAACAGCTGCATTGGCTCAATTAGTGAGTGACTGCATTTAGAGTAGCATACTATTTCTGCAGTTTACAGTATGTATACTATGTACAGTATTTGGAATATGAAGGTATGGAATACCTGGACGATGCATATTACCAGAGTACTGCATCCCACAATGCAATGCATCTTGACTTCATCTTTTATTTACATAGACGCATAAACCGAAAGTAACATAAACCACAATTTTTATCTCTTTCATGACTAATTTTTTGATTCGCCAAAGCTCAGAATGCCAAAAGTCTGACATTTTTTACACAATACTGATTTAGAAATGCGGAGATGATGACTAGACGTCAGTTACTGAAATAAACATGCACCATAATGAGGTTGTTTGACAATAACAAGGCAGTTTGCAAGTTACTATATGATAGATTTAGTTACAATTGCATACTAATACACTGTTTAACATATTTTTGTTTTTTAAATAGTATGTATTAAGCAGTATGCTTGTATTTCATGAACGCAGCCGGTCTGTTTATGTGTTCAAGGGTCATGTGGTTTTGACACATGTTGGTTTGTTTGCATTCATTTGATGTGTTGTCGAGCGGTTTGTGTCAGATATTAATGTCATGTTAAAGTGTAGATTTAAGTACTAACTCATGAGTAGCCTAAGTTAACTAATGCGTATGTGTTTTTTTTAAATCATGCCTTGAAGCGATGTTACCATAAGGTAGGTGCACGGCGGCAGGTCTGTGTGTGTGCGTGTGTATCTGTGTGTCGGGACACTGTTGCTTCCTGTCCAGCCATGGCCACGCCCACACGACACACCTGCAGAACAGCCACCCAATCACAGGCTTGATTAACGTTTGTCTGCGCTGCTGCTCCACCAGTCACATCGCTCCAGGCATGAATATTTAAAGATGTAAAGCTTCCTGTTCTGCTGGTCCATATATAAATGTCAGCTCACCATATCACAGTTTACTAAGGAGGTGTGTGTTTGTGCGTGTTTAGGAATCATCAGTATCTGTATATATATAATTTATGTTTATATTATTATCAGTTTGTTTATATTATTTATAATTAGATTATTTAAATATAATGAACTGTATCATCACTCACTGCTTGTCAATTACAAATTTGTTCTTAAATATAAGAATATTTAAATGTATGAATATTACATTTTTAATATTTAGTTTAATATTTAATCATAAATATAAATATAATATTTATGATATAGAATATGAAATGTGCATTTGTAATATAAAATAAAAAATAATATATTGTATTATATTTATTTATATTTTGTATGTTATTATTTTTAATTTTGTATGAAGTTATATCACTCACTGCTTAAATTTTTCTTAAATATAAGAATATTTAAATGTAAGAATAGCTAATTTAAATACTTAAATAATATTTCTAATTTATAATATGAAATGTACATTTCCAATGCAAAAAATATACAATTTAAAATAATAATAAAAATAAAAATAAGATATTATTGTATTATATTTATATATTGTAGATTTTATTTATTTAATTTTGTATGAAATAAAAAAATATAAAAACTACATGAATATATGTTATATATTCTAAACATTATGTAAATATTTGAATGCAATACCATTACATTTAAATATTCTTATATTTAAGAAAAAAATGTAATGCACAAGCAGTGATATTAAAGGGTTAGTTCACCCAAAAATTTAAATTAACCCACAAATTACTCACCCTCAAGTCATCCTAGGTGTATATGACTTTCTTCTTTCAGACGAATCCAGTCGGAGTTATATTAAAAATTGTCTTTGATCTTTCAAGCTGTTTAATGCCACTCAGCGGGTGTTGCATGCATCAGTCCAAAAGAAGTTAAATAAAAAGCACCCATCCATAAAAATAAAGTGTCTCACACGGCTCCGGGGGGTGAACAAAGACCTCCTGTAGCGAATCAATGCGTTTTTGTAAGAAAAATATCCATATTCAAAACGGAATAATCACTTTAATGTAGCTTGCGCCTGCATATACATGCGTCATATACACCTAGGATGACTTGAAGGTGAGTAATTTGTGGGCTAATTTTCATTTTTGGGTGAACTAACCCTTTGAGACACAGATCACTCTAATCAAATACAACTACAAATCTGCTCTAAATTATTTTGATACATTTTCATTCAGTGCAAATATAATTTTCGGGGATATTTTTCTGAACTTCCCGTCGGCTCATGCACATGTCTGCTGCTGGTGAAGTTAGAGTGTTTCCATGGCAACACTGAACCACAGGTTAACCAGAGTGATTTCCTAGAATCGGATCCGGATGTGGTTAACATGACACTGCTTTCTCTGTATCGTCCCCTTAAACTATGTGCATTAAAATGCATTAATATACTTTAGAATCGCATTTACCTCAGCAGCATGCATTTGTGTGTTTCTTCAACCCACAAGAACTCTTGAGTGTTGTGTAGGGTGTTTATATCTTGCAGTTTTCTTTTAGATTTTCATATATGTCATATCTGGCGTTTGACACATAAGTGTGTATAAACACTTCTGTATGGATCAGTGCGGGTGGATTTTGAGGTTTGTGAGTAAATTTAGGGGAAGTCATTGAGTCTGAAAACAAAAGTGTGTTATTTTGAGTGCACTACATTCCCTAGTCACAGCGATAAAACTATATCTTCCATTTAAATGAGAGTTTTTTATGTCTTTTTATTGATTTCTGCATCATCGCACCAGGTAGCCCCGCCTACAATGAAATCTCATTGGTTAAAAATCTCATAACTGAATATTCAACATAAGACACGTTTGAGTTGGTTACGAATTTAGAAAATGCATGATTATTTTGAATGTGAATGTTGTCGCAAGGATGTAGGAAGATGTGAAATCATGTGTAGGCTTGCACGTGTTTAAGTTTGTGTGTTTTTAGGGGTATAATTAATAAAATGATATTGCATAATCAGTAATATTTCATCCTCTCTCTCTTTTAGGCACGGCAGCAGGCTCAGATGAGACACCAGATGGCTTCTGACAGCAAGAATGAATATTCCTCATACCTGCAGAAGTTCAACCAGGAACAGAACGAACATTATTACACCATCATCCCTAATATTTTCCAGGTGCACACACACGCACAGAAACATGTACTGAGAATGAATTAGCTTCTAATATCATCATTCATTTATTTGCATTATTTATGAATTCACTATTGTGAATGATGCAAATTAGGTAACAGCATAAACACACCCCAAAAGGCAGTTTGCATGATCTCGCAGCTCTCTATTCAGAAATACACACACTAACTCTGTATGTGTGTGTTGTGAGCAGAAGATCCAGGCGATGGAGGAGAAGAGGATCGAGCGAATGGGTGAGTCGCTGAAGACGTTTGCAGAGGTCGACCGACAGATTCTGCCCATCATCGGGAAATGCCTGGATGGAATAACACAAGCGGCCGAGTCCATCGAATCCAAGAATGTTAGTAACACACTCATACTGACTCACTCGTGACTTTCTGTCTCAAATACCTCTCATTCTCGCATAGAAACTCAATCTGGGTTGAACAAGACATTACTGACCCTATTACTGATTCTAACACTGATCCAGGATCAGTCTCTGGCTGTTTATTCAAATGGATTAGATTATCGTAAATCACTGATACCTGATCCTTCATATGACGCAAGCATAATTTGCAGATTATGAAAATGCAGAAATCAAGGCTGTGAAATGTCTAAAACTGTTGTTTAAACGTTTTTGAAAGAAGTCTCTTATGCTCATCAAGGCTGCATTTATTTGATTAGAAATACAGTAAAACTTTAATTTTGAATATGTTGTAAAATGTCATTTATTTTACGCCAGTCTTCAGTGTCACATGATCCTTCAGAAATTATTCTAATATGCTGATTTGCTGCTCAAGAAACATTTATTATCATTAAATATTATTAACAGTTGAAAACAGTTTTTTTTGTGTGTGTAAACTTTTTTCATGATTCTTTGCTAAAAAGAAAGTAAAAAAAAAAGAACGGCATTTATTTGAAATTGAAATCTTTGGTAAGTAACATTAAAAATTTCCTTTTTGATCAATTTAATGCCTTCTTGGCTAATAAAAAAATGAAGTATTAAAAAAAGAAAAAGATCTTACTGGCCCCAAACATAGCTCATTAGAAATTTCAATAATATAATATTGAAATAAGGATATAAGTAATAGTGACACAATATGACATATTGAAGTCTTTGTACTTTATTTATCCTTTACAGCCTTATTATCGTTTGCGACAAGTTAAATATGCGGTCTATAAAGACTCTTAAATCTCCTCTGATGAAATTAATAATCTCTGAAATGTTTTTCAAATATATTTTCTGGCTTTTTAATTATTTACTGACAATGCAATTATGTTTTTAGAAATTATAGAAATGATGTATCTAGATATAGATATAATATATTCTGCAAATGAAACGGCAAGTGGTTGTTGTCTCTGACTATACAGTTGCTTTTTAGGACAAAACATCTTCAGAAATGACCTAAATCTGACAAAACCTCCTTTTAGAGGCATCCTCAAAAAGAAACAAAAAATGTCAAGAAATATATTATATATATATATATATATATATTTATAATTTTAACTAGTTGCCAATACAACATTTTTTTGAAGTAATAAAAAAATACTAAAAATTAATATATACTAAATTTACATATTTAAAAATAATAATAAAAATGAATAACAATAAAATTAAACAAATAAAATTACTTAAACTTTAACAAAAATTTAAGTGAATACAAAAAATATAAAAATTTAATCGAATTCAAAATATTAATAAAAACTGTAGTCACACAGTAAAGCCTCGTACACACCGGGACGATTATCGCGCGCGCTTATCGCCGACGTTTTTCGACGCGTCTTTTGTGTTCATACCCAAGCGATTTTCGTTGGCGATTAGCCGAGTGAATGTGCAAATTCACTCCCTGACATTAGATGGCGCTTAATGAAAAACAGAAATAGCCCGGTACACATCAAATCCTATTTGATCTGCAATTCCTCTTCATAACAACTCATTGAGATTTTTGTAGTCGCTGACGCGTTTGTCATAAAGCCCTCTGTGTTCAGACACCAATGAGACCAGCATAAATGTGTGCTCAGCAAGACCGTTTTGTGCTTGAGCGCCACCAAGTCATGTTTTACTGTAACTTCAGCAGCTCCAGGCACCTGAACAAAAGCGTCAATCTCATTGGTCGAACAGTTTTTAACGCGGTGCGTCAAACCAAAAAAACGAGCCCGAGGCGTTTTTAAAAAAATGACGCGTTTAGGCCTCACGTTTTGCGCGTCGGTGTGCACACTCACATTAACTAAATGTGTGTTAGTTAATGTGACTAAACTAAACTCAAATTGTTTAGTCACGAGGCGTTAAACGTTGGCGATAATCGCGCGCGATATTCGTCCCGGTGTGAACAAGCCTTAAGACTATCTGTGCTGTCTTTCCCCCGCAGGACTCCTCTCAGGTCATAGAGTCGTATAAGTCTGGGTTCGAGCCTCCTGGCGATGTGGAGTTTGAAGACTATGGTCAGGCGATGAAGAGGACGGTGTCTGAGACCAGCCTCACTAACTCACGCTCGGACAGCAAAGTGGACCGTTCCAGCAAGAGCAAGAGCAAAACTCTCTGGCCTTTCATTAAGAAAAACAAGGTAACACACACCGGCGTCACATTCACTCGCAGTTACTTGGATTGGACTGAAAACAAAACTCAAGTAAATATGAACAGCACAGACTGATCTGATACCTCATGAGAGTGATTGTTTTATGTGTTTATGTGAGTTTTGTTTTAGTTTGTGCTTGTTTATTAGTTTGAATTTGTCTAGTTTTATTGTAGTATCTGTAGATATTGTTATTCGTTTGCCACCATCGTTCTCCTTTCCTTTCCCTTCCCTGTGTTCACCTGCACGAAAAATAAGCTCCACGTTCATCCTGACGTACTAATGCACCGGCCCGAGAGGCCTCACCTTTGACCTTTGCAGAGAAACGTAACTCTAAAGCCTTTATTCCTGTGTTGTCCTTTCAAACCGAGAGTAACTTCCTTCTCCGGCCACCCATCGGTGCTGTTCTCATGGTAACCACATTCTTCTTCCTTTTCCTCGTCTTCCTCTGTCTTCTTGTGACCTTTGACGTTTGTGTCAAAGGCTCCGCTCTTACTGAGCATGCTCAGTCCAAACCCCGCCTAACCTCGCAGGACCAGGATGTGAGCATTAACACTGTCATATATAATTAATGAGGTGTGTCTGTGTGGCTATGGGCGGAATGGAAAACTAGTTCATACTGTGCAGTATATACTGTATACTGTTTATGATTGTTTAGTTAGTTTGAAGTCAATACGAAAGAAATGAATGATTTTAGTCAGCAAGGATGCATTAAATTGATTAAAAGTGATAGTAAAGACATCTATAATGTTATAGCTGTTATTTTGAATTTTCTATTCATTCAGAATACACAAAATATTAAGAAAACACCAAAATATGTAGTAGCACGACTGTTTTCGACCTGAATAATAGTAAGAAATGTTGCAGCAAATCAGCATATTAGACTGATTTCTGAAGGATCATGTGACACTGAAGACTGGAGTAATGATGCTGAAAATGCAGCTTTGCATTAAAGGAATAAATTATATTTTAAAATATATTACAATAGAAAGCAGTTATTTTAAATTGTAATAATATTTTACAAAATTGCTATTTTTACTGTATTTTTTATCAAATAAATGCTGCCTTGGTGAGCATAAGAGACTTTCAAATACAGTACATAAATGCATACTATATTTATATATTTATTTTAATTTATGCAAAACATTACAATATAGATTGTGCTCACATGATCTCATCACATCATATTTAATTCGGCAAGTGGCATCCAAATGTTATTTGCATTTTTAGTGCATTTATTGCACTTTAGTTTTGTGTAAAACTGTAGCGACATTTGGCTGTGTCTGTGAAATACTGCAGTTTATGTTCTCTTCACACTGGAAATGGAACTTTTGCGCATTGCATTATGGGATATCATGTGCATTTTGGCAAATGTTAGTAGGACATTTGCATATCGCACATAGTGCCTAAAAAGTAATAGAAGTATGTAGTATGCTGTTCCAATCATAGCCTGTGTTTGTCAGTTCACGTCTATCCTGTGTGTGTAACACAAAACATTATTAGGAGACTTTACTTAGAAACCACATTCAATAATATTCGTCTAAACACTAAACACACACACATCTCGTGCAGGACTGGATATGATTAATGGTGTTTATGCATGAAAGGCAAGCAGATGATATTGACAAAATTAGAATGTTCTAGAGGGTTAGATGTTGAAATGTTTCTTGTGTTTATATATGACGGTAAAGATTATAGGAATCGTCTGGGTTCAGTACGAGTTAAGCTGTGTTGGCAGCATCTGTGACATGCTGTTGATTACCACAGGAATCAGCTCAACTTTGGAAAAACAAGGAGAAATGCTGTTTACAGTAATGCTCTTACATGGGAAGTCTGTGGGCCAGAAGTGTTGTTAAGTAGATCTAAAAGAGTGAAATAATTTTCACGTTAAGTAAAATAAAGCTGTAATAAAACAAAATATACATATTAGATATATTTCACCTAAACAAAAAAAAATTGAAATGGAAAAAAACTGAAATAAAACAGGTTGATGTACTTAAATTACTAAAAAATAATTGAATAAATAAAAAATAAAATGTAAATAGCAATGCCTAGTGTAATTTATGGAATTGGCTTGCTATTTGTTTTTACTTATTGTTTTTTTTTCTTATCAATTATTTTTACCTAAAGTATTTTTTTTATATAGATTTAGCTATTTTAATTACCATTTAAAATGACAATAGCACATAACATTTGTAAAAATTAAAATGGAAATATAAAATAAAAGCTAATTCAAAATATGAATTAATGCTTTAATAGTATATAAATAATACTAAAATAGGGCAAGATATTCTGGTAGGGTTAAAATAAAAAATGTGCATCTCATATTTATTCGCAAAACATTACAATATAGATTGTGCTCACATGATCTCATCACATCATATTTAATTCGGCAAGTGGCATCCAAATGTTATTTGCATTTTTAGTGCATTTATTGCACTTTAGTTTTGTGTAAAACTGTAGCGACATTTGGCTGTGTCTGTGAAATACTGCAGTTTATGTTCTCTTCACACTGGAAATGGAACTTTTGCGCATTGCATTATGGGATATCATGTGCATTTTGGCAAATGTTAGTAGGACATTTGCATATCGCACATAGTGCCTAAAAAGTAATAGAAGTATGTAGTATGCTGTTCCAATCATAGCCTGTGTTTGTCAGTTCACGTCTATCCTGTGTGTGTAACACAAAACATTATTAGGAGACTTTACTTAGAAACCACATTCAATAATATTCGTCTAAACACTAAACACACACACATCTCGTGCAGGACTGGATATGATTAATGGTGTTTATGCATGAAAGGCAAGCAGATGATATTGACAAAATTAGAATGTTCTAGAGGGTTAGATGTTGAAATGTTTCTTGTGTTTATATATGACGGTAAAGATTATAGGAATCGTCTGGGTTCAGTACGAGTTAAGCTGTGTTGGCAGCATCTGTGACATGCTGTTGATTACCACAGGAATCAGCTCAACTTTGGAAAAACAAGGAGAAATGCTGTTTACAGTAATGCTCTTACATGGGAAGTCTGTGGGCCAGAAGTGTTGTTAAGTAGATCTAAAAGAGTGAAATAATTTTCACGTTAAGTAAAATAAAGCTGTAATAAAACAAAATATACATATTAGATATATTTCACCTAAAAAAAAAAATTTAAATGGAAAAAAACTGAAATAAAACAGGTTGATGTACTTAAATTACTAAAAAATAATTGAATAAATAAAAAATAAAATGTAAATAGCAATGCCTAGTGTAATTTATGGAATTGGCTTGCTATTTGTTTTTACTTATTGTTTTTTTTTCTTATCAATTATTTTTACCTAAAGTATTTTTTTTATATAGATTTAGCTATTTTAATTACCATTTAAAATGACAATAGCACATAACATTTGTAAAAATTAAAATGGAAATATAAAATAAAAGCTAATTCAAAATATGAATTAATGCTTTAATAGTATATAAATAATACTAAAATAGGGCAAGATATTCTGGTAGGGTTAAAATAAAAAATGTGCATCTCATATTTATTCTGAAGCAATTATTTATTTTGTGCAAAATATGTTATTTGAGTTGTAAAGTTGTGTAAATAATTATTTCAGTGGTAGGACTACTTCTGGTTATGCGACACATTGCTCAATGGACTTCCATCGTAAGTGCATTATTGCACACGTAATTTAGATTTCCTGTGCTACTGGGCACACTTGTGTAGATTTCGACTTATCTCGGTTTTTCCTAATGCATAGAGGGCAGATTTTGTCTGTGATGTTTTAGCAGGTTGTCTAGTCTGTTGGGAACTAAACCGTTAATGTGAGCTCTCCCAGAATGCATGCTCATTAATTTCTCCATTACGCTTTGGGGAGCTCGCTAATAAGAAAGTGAAAGAGAGAGAGAAATCAGTGAAATCAGTTTTTGTGCTGTAGAGGAGTGTGTGTGTGTGCTGTGCATGCAACGATTGTTAAAGGGACAGTTCAGCCAGAAATTAAAACGCTGTCATCATCTGCTCACCCTCATTGACTGACTTTCTTTCTTGGAACACAAAAAGAGAAAAGGAACATTTATGCTGCTCTTTTGCCATGCAATGAAAGTGGATGGTGACCATGACTGTCAAACTTCAAAAAGTGACAAAAAGGCGAGAAATACTTTGACAAACTGCCAGAGATTTATAGTTCTTAAAAAAACAGATCAAATGCAGATGTTACTGGTGGAAGACTGTAGCTAAAATTCATTTTTCAGCTGCACACCGTCAGAAACCAACTACTGCTTTGATCAATATAACCAAAGTCCGTCCATGTGCATATATTACATTTTTTTTATTCGTAATGTATTGAATGTTTAAATCTTATTTTTATTTTATTTATTTTGATTGTTTTCTTCATAATGTATTGAAAAATGACTAATACACACAAACACACATGCACACTTGTTAATTATTGTTATTATTTTTTACATTTTATTTTATAATTTCAGTATTTTTTCTAATATATATATTTTTCTAATATCATTTTTTACATTTGCTAAACTAATATTTCTATTTTTAAATAAATTAAATAAGTAAATAAATAAATGTATTATTTTGTTTCTTTCTTCATAATATATTGATAAATGACTATATATATAGATATACTGTAAATAAAATAAATTATTAATTATTTCAGTAATATTTGTTTATTGTTATTGCCATGCAAACACAATCCTACCAATAAAAGTACTTAAAATTTAAACTTAACTGACAAAAAGGTGAATTATCGGTGATAGATTATTAGTGAATAATGACTTTAGGTCTTTTTCTCACACAAAGCTGTTGTTTGGTTTCAGAAGACCTGGAATATAGTCATATGCACTACTTTTACAGGGCTTTTTGTCATTTTTGAAGCCCATGGTCCCCATTTGCTTCCATTACATTGAAAAATCACCTTTTATGTTCCACGGAAGACCGACAGTCACTGAGGTGATGTTTATTTTTGGGTGAACCGTCCCTTCAAATGGTTCTGCAGTGATCTGACCCCTGCATGTGACCCCTGATGTACAGGACAGAGTTTAACGCACTAACTCTCTCGCTCACAGGGTTAATAACACCACAGCTGCAGCGCGTTTCTTTCAGTTGCCGTTTCTTTTACGTTCCTTTTAAGTTTGCGTTCTCCTTTGTTCTATTAATTGATTAATTGATTAATTCGTTTCATTTTTGGGTCCTTATTTCTCTTGTTTTGTGTTCCCCCTCCTTTTTTGTTTACCTCTTTCCGGATCGATTTGGTCCCACCCTCTCTCTCTCTCTCTCTCTCTCTCTCTGTAAACCTCTCTCACTCACTGGTCGCTGCTCTGTGGCTCGTGTCTTACCGGTAGCTTATGTCCCTGTTAACGTCCCCCGTACCTCGCCAGCCCCCCCCTGACCCTCCCTCACCTTCTGCTGTGACCCCTGACCCCTGCCCCACTCCCCAGACCCCCAAACAGTCCAAGGAGCCCCTGTCCCACCGATTCAACGACCTCATGACCTCGAAGTCCAAAATGCACTGCTTCAGGAGCCTCCGGCGCGGGGTAAGTATCCGTGCATGCTGGCGATCCACGTCTTCCACATGCGTGTTCATGTGAGTGTGTGTGTGTGTGTGTGTGCCGCTCTGTGCCTGTCATCGCCTGTGCTGTCATGTCATTGTTCATTTGCATAAAGAAAAAGGAGCCGAATTATCATTTTGAGGTGGTTTTTGCATCATATTCTAAATGCAAAACAACCCATTGATTTGACTAATGCTGCTTTTAAGTCATGACTGAATAATCATATGTAGGTGATTCTTCAGTTAGGGGGATTTTTCTGTGCCCCGAGATGATTTTATAAGGAAAAAAAGATTTTATTAATTTATTTCTTTATTTTATGTTATTTATTTGGCAGTGATTCTAGTTGTAATTAATTAATTAATTAATTAAATAAATTCTGGTTTCTGGATAGGATACAGTGGTTATATTATAAAATGTTTATTTTTTATATTTATCTATAATATTATAGACCTATCAATAATATTTATTTATTTATATTTATTCATTTTTAATACTGTTAATAATTGTAAATTTGAATAACATCGATTTTGAATAAATTTGGTATTCATGTTTACAATTTTTATTTAAGAATCACTGCCCCAATCAGTGTTATTTTAATATTCTTCTTCTTCTTATTATTATTATTAATATTTTGAATTAGATTTTATATTTACACTTTCATTTTCAATTTCAATTTTTATTATACTTTTTATTATACTTATTATATATTTATTATTTTATGTATTTTTTGTTTACGTTTTAGTAATTTTGTCTTTTTTATTAGTTTTTTCAATTTCTATTTATCTTTAATTTATTTCAGTTTTAGTTTTTTTTATTTTATATTTATATATTTTTTTTAATTATATTGTAATATTTATTTTTATATTTTTATATATTTTTATGTATTTTCATTTACGTTTTAGTAATTTTGTTATGTGCTTTTGTCATTTTTATTATTATTTTTCATATATATTTCTATTTATTTTTTATTTATTTTATTTCAGTTTTAGGTTTAGTACTTAAACTTATTATTTCAGTTAGTTGCTAAGTTTTTAAGTTGAACTTATCCAAATTTATGTTATTATGCTATTTCCATATTTATGCTATTTCCATATTGTTATTTAATTTCAATGTAATTTTAATTAATGCATTTTTTTTTTAATAGTTTTATTTTTAGTTAACAAAACACAGGACCCAATATGGCCGTCATCAGCCATCACAGCAAGCATTTTAGAAATTTTTTTACAACAAAAAAAGCTTAAATTTGAATATTGTATTATATTAAATTATGCTAAATTCAATTATATTATTCCTCACCCTTTATTTTGTTGCAACAGTGCTAAAAACTCTTCCTGTCTTTGTGGAAATGTGAGAATGAAATATGAAATTGAAAGGTTTTTCCTACAGTAGTTTGACTAAATATCGACTTTGAAGGCAGCATTGGCTTCTGAAGCGATGATGTCACAGTGTGACTCAGATTCCGCAGGCGATGATGTCATGCAGTGACTTGGATTCTGGAAGCAGCAGCGGAACTGTTTATATCTTTCGGCTCCTTTTTCCTCCTCCTCACGCAGCCGATGAAATCCACTCTGCCTTCTCTTTCTCTCTCTGTGTCAGTCTGTCTCTCTCTCTCTCTCTCTCTCTCGTTTATGTTTCGTTGTTTGCGTTTACCATGGTTTCACTGTCTCACGTTTTCAGACACGGGGCGCCAGTCAGAGGCACCCTGCGGTGACAGATCAAATAAAAACGGGTGCTCAAACACACAGGTTTATCCTGAGTAATGCGATTTCACACACACAAACTCTCAGAAACAATGTCTTCTATTTACACACACGCTGACATGTGACTTTCTGATAAAGTCATACCAGATTCACCTTCCCTTCAGGAAGGCCGTCCGCGTGTTTCCGCGTGTGCGAGCTGAGATTCGGACTTCTGAATGACTTTGCTAGATAACAGACACAAAACACAGCAGATAACGGAGCAAATCCCGCTTTCCCATGTCCCTGTGCAAATCTCACGTATTTTGTATCTTTTCAAAAAATTGATGGTCAGTGAACAAAACAAAAAACAGATTTATCATATCTTATTTTTGGCCATTCCTGCGTCAAACAGAAAGGTTCATCATGCTGACAGAGCTATATGAAACTTATCGTCCACATTTTTAGCATATACAGACTCAACAGTGATGCCTGAATCAGATATCGAATGATGTTATAGACACAAATGATTAAAAATAGAGGAATAAACTTGAACATATGAAGGTCTTTGACACGTTCATTGTCTTCATTTGTGCTCCCGGCTTATTTATAATATATGTGTTTATGGTTTATATGATTTGATGTACACTACTCTTTGAAGGTTTGAGGTCAGAATAAAACGAAGGCTTGTATTCAGCAAGAATGCATTAAATTGATCAAAAGTGATAGTAAATGTAGTATTTATAATCTTACAAAAGATTTCTGTTTTGAATAAGTACTGTTCTTTTGAACTTTCTATTCATCCGAGAATCCTAAAAAGCTTTGTTTTCAACATTGATAATAATAATAATCCACAAAATAATTTTCATGTATTTTGCATATTTTAATACATATTTTTAAAAAAAATCTATATTCTGTATTTTGCATAATCATACTTTTTAAAAATTATCTTTATATTTACATTTTATTATGTTTAATATTTTGTTTTTAAATTATATATAAAAAAAATTTTATTCACATAGTTATTTATGTCTCATTTTATGTCATGCTTTTCATTTAAATAATCTCTTATTAATCTCTTGATTATAATAATAATCATTTAGTAATCTCAAGTGTTCCTCCATGGATTGCTTTGTTTTGAGATCCCTTCTCAGGTACGATTACCCAGAATCCTCTCTGGTGTGACGGCTGCCTCAAAAACAAGCCCATTTATTCAGAATATTTTCATTTTTGTTTCTCTTTCCTCTGTCATCTCTCTTGTACACCCATCCCTGATGTGTTCTGTTTATTGACTGACTATTGCTTTAGGACTGATGATGTCATCCTCATGTGACTCTGTAACATTGTGTGAAATAACTGGTTCATTGGTACCTGCTGAAGTTCACTGCATCAAAAGAAAATGGCAGTCGATTCCTGATGAATAAAATCTAATTGCATCCTATTTTTTCTCGTTGTATGCAAATGCATCAAGCTACAGCAGTAATACGAATATTGTTGCATCATTAAGTAAAATATTGGTGATGAGAAAGTCACATGATGAACCAAAGCTCATCACAAACAGCTTTTCTACGAGCTGAGGAGGGCAATACTTATATATAGAAGGTTTCACACAGTGTCATTCACACAAACACTAAACCCCATCATGATTCTGAAATAATGCAATAAACATTAATCTAACAACATTACATGTAAGATTAAACCCTGTTGCACACAACTGATAAGAAAAAAACTAAGAAAAAACATGTTATTTCAACAAAAAAACATCAAATATGAAGTGTCATGCAGGGAATTCTGGGAGTGTCAATTTACAGTTTGTCACTGTAAATTATACAATGACTTTTTCTTTTTCACTTCCAAAAACCGTATTTTTAACAGTATTTTACTGTAAAATTATATTAAATGTAATTACATTTATTCATCGAATATAGTGTGGAAACTTACTGTTAACCAGTTAACAGGTATTTACTGTAGCATTTTTACAGTCTTTTACTGTTAAAATCACAATAATTTTTTACAGTGTATGCAGGCAATGCAAAATTAATACCAGTTCTCCTGACAATATATTGAGGTCTTATGAAGCGAAACGATCAATCTGTGCAAGAAACTGAACATTATTTACAACATTATTACCTGTAATCCAGGCAAACGGTCCAGAGTGATGTCCGGTTTGCGAACAAATCATTCTTTTGAACTGATTCTTTTTAGTGAACTGAATAAACCAGTTCACCACATCGGACTGAACCGTCTGAAACAGTTCACGACTCGAGCAGCACAGATCTACAAGTTACTCAATCAAAACTCACTTTCAGACTCAGAACGAGCCAAAATATCAGTGTATATGATCCTGTAATGCATCTGTGCAAGAAACTGAACATTATTTACAACATTATTACCTGTAATCCAGGCAAATGGTCCAGAGTGATGTCCGGTTTGTGAACAAATCATTCTTTTGAACTGATTCTTTTTAGTGAACTGAATAAACCAGTTCACCACATCGGACTGAACGGTCTGAAACAGTTCACGACTCGAGCAGCACAGATCTACAAGTTACTCAATCAAAACTCACTTTCAGACTCAGAACGAGCCAAAATATCAGTGTATATGATCCTGTAATGCTGGTTTTTGGCAACTCATTCAGGGCTCCAGATCTGACGCCGCTTGACTCGGACCGAAGACCAATGAGCCGCTGATATGTGCAAACGTGAGCTAAGCACTTGAACGAAGGGGCCAAATGAAAGTTTTATGGTTTCTCATTGTTTATGTAAAAAGTTGATGGAGACAAGTTTATTCACTATATGCTCTGAACATGTAAAACATCCACGTTTCCCATCATTATTGGGTGCTTACTAATATAATTGCATATACGTCTTTGCATGATTACGTAAACAAATGAGTGAATTGAACTAGTTCATTTAAATGAACTATCCGAAAGAAGCAGTTTGTGGAAAAGAATCCGATTTCCCTGTTTGCCTGAAGCTATGAATTAGAGGTAATAATGTTGGAAATAATGTTCCGTTTCTTGCACAGACCAATCATTTCGCTTCATAAGACCTCAATATATCGTCAGGAGCCACGGGTATTAATTTGGTCTTGCCTGTATATGCTTTTTTGACTCTCAAAGTCACGGTAGCCATTGACTTGCATTTTATGATTCACCAAGGACCACAGTTTCAGCTAAAAATCTTCTTTACGGTTCTACTCAAAAAAACTAAATGAACAGCACATTTTCATTTTTGGGTGAACTATCCCTTTAACGACACTTCTGGTACTGTTTTGCTATTTAATTTTACCTTTGTGTGTATTTAAGTTCAAAACCATGTTGTTGTCTGATTTATCTTTTTGTTGATGTCTGTTTTGTTTTGTCTTGTTGCTGTGGTACTGTCCCTCTGTGTAGCTCTCACTCAATGCCCACGTGCGGAACCTTATTGAGGTGATCTGAAACAAGTTTTTTGTCCCTGTGTTTGTTTTTCTGTTCATGATTTGGTCTTTATGTATTTCAAACAATTTGATTAATTTGATCCCTAACCAGATGTGTGGCATAATATGCTGAAATGCGATCATTTTGAATGTAGTTTAGAGAATCTGTTGATGTTATAGTGTAAATTAAAGGAATAGTTCACATACAGAATTAATATATAGTCTTTATTTTATGTCATCCTAAACCTCTGGCTTGATTTTTTTTCTGTGGAACACAAAAGGAGATGCTTGGTTTAACTTTTCACTTTCATTATGGAAAAGAGCAGCATGCACATTTTGCTAAATATCTTCTTTCATGTTTCACTGTAGAAATTAAGTCAAATTGGTTTTGAATGACATGAGGGTGAAAAATTATATAAATAAAGTGTTATTAATAATTATCAGTGATTAGAATAGATAAAATATCTTAACCAATCACAGAGTGTCTTGCTATTTTAGCCCCACCCAAAACTTTTTACATGTGATTATTGAAACACTGATGGTGTAGTGTGATTTATAGTTGACTATTACATTGTAGGTAATGTTTGGTTATATTTAAACATCAATCTGTTTATAGATATGCGTATTTGATCCATATAATTTATTTGAGTTCATTTCTGAGATTTTTTTTTTTT